GCTGGGTCTGAGAGTTCTCCTGGAGCTGGTGCTACTGAGGGTGTTGGCGCTGAGCCTGCCGTTGGCGGTCCGACTGACAGTGCTCCTGGTGCTGCTGCTGGAGGTTCTGGAGCTTCTGGTGGTGCTGCTGGAGGTGCTGCTGGAGTGGGTACTCCTGCCGGGGCTGCTGGTACTGTTCCTGCTGTTTCTGGTGTCGCCGCGCGGCCCCGACCTTACTTCGTTCCGCTCCTGCAGCAGGTTCTTGGTCTTCCGCCTCCTCCTCCTCCTCCCTTAGAGGGTCCGCAGCCTGTCCGGTCACAGCCACAGCTACAGCCTGCCTCCCCTTTGCCTGCTCCGTCTCCCTACACTGGTCCGACTGGAGGTCTTACTGAGCGTCGTGAGCCTGCGTCTCGTCCTGTGTCGCCTGTTCGTACTGAGCGCGCTAGTGGTCGCGGGTCGCGTCAGCGTCCTCCTCCTGTCCCTGGCACGCACCGGATGTCACTGCGTCCGTCCACTGCTCCTCTGCGTGCCCCTTTGCCTTCTCCTCCTGCTTCCTCTCTTCCTGCTCTTGCCGACCCGGAGTCGGACTCCCTTCGTGCTGCCAGTCCTACTGTCACGCGTCTCCTTGCTACAGCTGTCACTGACCCTTCCTTCGAGTCGTCTGCTGCGTCTGCCCTTGTCACTGAGCTTGTCGACTTTGCTGCGCGCTGTCGTCTAGACTACGCTGCCCGTCTTGTCACTGAGTCTGAGTCCGCCTGTCCTCCGTCCGTCGGGGGTGAGTGTGCCCTTGGCACGGACGTCCTTGAGGACAGGCAGGAGGAGTTCCAGTGTCTGGCCGCCGCTTCACCTCGTCTCGCGTCTGTACTGCTAGCCCCTGAGGGAGACCCGGATGCACCAGACATCCCGACTCCGCGCTCTTACGCGGAGGCGATAGAGGGTCCCTACTCCTCTCAGTGGCAGGCAGCTATGGATGCAGAGATGGCTTCCTGGAAGTCCACAGGCACCTACGTTGACGCTGTTCCCCCCCCTGGGGCGAACATCGTCAGTGGCATGTGGATTTTCAGGGTGAAGCGGCCGCCGGGTTCTCCGCCTGTCTTCAAGGCGCGTTACGTGGCTCGTGGCTTCAGTCAGCGGCAGGGGGTTGACTACTTTCAGACCTTCTCCCCCACCCCGAAGATGACCACTCTTCGGGTCCTGCTGCACGTTGCTGCTCACCGTGACTACGAGCTGCACTCTCTCGACTTCAGCACTGCTTTCTTGCAGGGCAGCCTGCACGAGGAGATCTGGCTGCGTCGCCCACCTGGCTTCACTGGGTCTTTCCCTCCTGGTACCCAGTGGAGTCTCCGGCGTCCAGTCTACGGTCTCCGCCAGGCGCCACGTGAGTGGCACGACACACTGAGGACTACGCTGGCGGCACTTGGGTTTGCTCCTTCTACTGCCGACCCGTCGCTGTTTCTGCGCACCGACACCTCTCTGCCGCCGTTCTACATCCTCGTGTACGTCGACGACTTGGTCTTTGCCACAGCTGACACTGCTGGACTCGCCTACGTGAAGTCCGAGCTGCAGAAGAGACACACGTGCACTGACCTGGGTGAACTGCGCAGCTATCTTGGCTTGCAGATCACCCGGGACAGAGCACGCCGCACCATTACCCTGACTCAGTCACACATGGTGCAGCAGGTCCTTCAGCGCTTCGGCTTCACGTACTCCTCGCCTCAGGCCACTCCTCTGCCTACTCGCCACTCGCTCTCAGCTCTGCCTTCGGATGAGTCCGTAGAGTCGAGTGGCCCGTATGCAGAGCTTGTTGGCTGCCTCATGTACCTGATGACCTGCACACGACCTGACCTTGCATACCCTCTTAGCATTCTCGCACGCTATGTTGCTCCTGGGAGACACCGACCAGAGCACATGGCTGCAGCGAAGAGGGTGTTGCGCTACTTGTGCAGTACGTCGGGCATGGGGCTAGTGCTTGGAGGGCGCAGTCCAGTGGTCCTCACTGGGCACGCGGACGCTTCTTGGGCTGACGACCAGGCTACGCAGCGGTCGTCACAGGGTTACACCTTCAGCCTTGGTTCCGGCTCTGTTTCGTGGCGGGCTACCCGCTCGTCTTCTGTTCTCGGCTCCAGTTGTGAGGCTGAGATCTACGCCGGGGCTATGGCTGCACAGGAGTTACGCTGGCTCACCTACCTGTTGACCGACCTTGGAGAGCAGCCTCGTTCTCCTCCAGTCCTGTACGTAGACAACAAGGCCATGCTGGCCTTGTGTCGAGAGCAGAGACTGGAGCACAGAACGAAGCACATTGCTCTCCGCTACTTTCTTGCTCGTGAGCTACAGCAGCGTGGACAGTTGCGACTTGCGTACGTGGCCTCTGAGGCCAACACTGCTGATGTCTTCACCAAGGCACTTGCGCCTTGTGATCATCAGCGTTGTTGCACGCAGTTGGGTCTTGTGCCTGTCTTGCCTCACTTGCTCTCCTCTTGACCTTGCTTGTACCTTCGCCTATATATACTCTTGCTCTTGCTTACTTGACTCTTGTATATCTCTATATATGATCTTGCATGTGAACTGGCCATGTGGCCTTGAACTTGTGCTCAGAATGTGTGGTGACTTTGTGATCCACCCTGAGCTTTGCTTTGCTTTGCTTGACTGGTCTTGTGACCCCTTGTTCTCCCCCACTTTGCCTATGGGGGTGTGTCAGAACTTTATAGCTTATACTATTGTGTAGGCTATAGTGGGGTATCCCATAGGGGGTACAACCCAATTAGGGTTTCCTATTTGTACTCACTTCTTTCATAGTCATTCCATTCTCGTTCTCTCTTTCACACTAGCATGAATTTTCAGGCGTATTTTTTGAAGTAATTCTGTTTGTTCGAGCGCTGACTTGACTTTGGTTTCTGTACGGGGAAAGAGTGAGTTCTCGATTTTTGAAACAATTTCGCCCCAAAAGTGAATCGTTTCCTTGCCCTTTGAGGGCACTTCCCACCGTGGTTTGCGGATGTTTTCGACAGACGTTCGATTGGGTAACCATGACAGATCTTACGATCCATATTGATTGCACAATGGTGTCCAGACCTGGAGCCGCAACCATTCATTTTTCACAACATTGGAAATTTGCGAGTCGCGTGGGCAGACTCATTTGTCGTCCAAACCGTGGAAACACCCCCTAGGTATGCCCTAAGGATTGCATGCCAATTATTTTTGTTGGCAACAGGTATACTGGGACACCTACAGAGGTTACTGACACGCATCCGTCTACGTAGAGTCGTCGACATCCCACACCAAACACTTCCTGAGAGCAGTTTCGTGTCGTGGCGCGTCTTGTTCGGACTGGAAATTACCTTGGAAAGAACTCATGTTCACTGTGTGAAGGCCACGCTGGATCATCCTAGCCAGCCCCAAACCAGCCCAATCCCGCACTTTGCCGACGTGGTTGACTGTTTCAACTCCAGGGCGGGAAGGAAAGATTCACCCCGCGTCACCCACTTTTGTACGTGTTCGACTGCTGTACTGTACTTGATCTCGATTGCTTTGGGATTGTTGAGTTGGCTTGGTTTGTGGTTGTCGTGACAGCTTTGATTACAGTACTTCTAATCGCCCGTACTTCTAATCGCCCCCTACATCCATCCCCTTCAAACTTTCAAGTCCGAGAGCAATCAAATATTCTCCATTCTACATCCATTGATCACCCTAGGTGGGCCAAGTAGAGACCGTTCATTGTATCGCTGTGCTCCGTTCCTCATCCCTCCCGACCCGACAGGATTCATCTTTACTGTACTTGTTTTTATATATTTTTTTTTCCCAGCTCGCCCGTACGGCAGAGCAAGATAGTCGCGAATCATTGCATGCTAGTGCCCACCTTTTCGCCCTTGCTGACTGGATCGTCTCTGAGATGGAAAGGGAAGTCAATGTTTTCTTTGCGCTCGAATCGCGGCTGTTTCCAGGTCCAGTAGTCAATGTTTCTTTGCGCTCGAATCGTCTCTGAGATGGAAAGGGAAGTCGTTTCTTTGTCTCCTGATGCCTGTTTGAGCCCCTCCCGGTTGCCTTGTGAAGGGGGCATATAAGCTGTATCGTGCATTTCGCATAAGTTCGTCAATTTCGCAGCTAGCTAAAAAGAATTCGCATGTGCTTATAAACAAGACCCTGCTACCTAGTTACCTAGTTTGACTTCAGTCTCTTCTGCTTGACTTCGGTCTCTTCTGCTTGACGCGCTTGTACTCCTGATGCCTGTTTGAGCCCCTCCCGGTTGCCTTGTGAAGGGGGCATATAAGCTGTATCGTGCGTTTCGCATGAGTTCGTCAATTTCGCAGCTAGCTAAAAAGAATTCGCATGTGCTTATAAACAAGACCCTGCTACCTAGTTACCTAGTTTGACTTCAGTCTCTTCTGCTTGACTTCGGTCTCTTCTGCTTGACGCGCTTGTAATGTGGGTGCATGAAGCTGGGGAAACAACCTCGGGTGCAGCGTGTCCATCCGGCGCAAGGCAAATTCGCGCGCATGGGGTGAGCATCAGCTGTAATGTGGGTGCATGAAGCTGGGGAAACAACCTCGGGTGCAGCGTGTCCATCCGGCGCAAGGCAAATTCGCGCGCATGGGGTGAGCATCAGCTGTAATGTTTGCAACGAGTGATAAAGGCCTCCCTTACCGCCAGCCTGGTTGCCTCAGCATCAGTCGAGGTGCATCCACCTACCTCGAGGTGCTTCAGATCTACAGGCCAGTTGCACATTTCCTTCGCGACGTGAACGAAACTCGAAGCTCGTGTTTCGTTTCGTTCCGAAGGCACAGCAATCCTAGTATTTACTAGGTGAAGGACGCACTAGAGGTCGGATCTGTCAGCAACGGAGCAGCCAAGAAGGTCCTGCGTGCCAACTCTGTAGCAACCCTAAGACCTGCATTGAGGCAAATTTTGGAGGCTTAGAGGCGACTCCATTGCAGCGAGTAACGCCTGCAGTCGCGATAAAAGACTCTAGCCGCATTTATCAACTAGCAGGGCATATCTTCCCACAACCAAGAGGGTAGAACAATATGAAGACGGGAAACGGAAAGTTCACGTTTCTGCTCTTAGTACTTCTGGCCATTCACGCCTCGTTGGCTTCACTAGAGGAAGCCCGCACGCCTGTCGTGAACCCGTCGCAGTATGAAATCTTTTTGCAAAGAAACGGAGAAGTTCCCGAAGACCAGAGGCGTCAGCACACCGCGGAGGGCATTCTGGATGCGGAGAGCAGCGAAGAGGTGGGCGGCCGGCGCGTTCTGGTGGATACGGGAGTGAAGTTCGGTCTGTCGGCGCCGCCGCTTAACTCGGGGCCGAGCATGGCGACGGTGAACATGTCGTTCTACCGCTGGGAGAGCGTCACGCCGCCGCCCGTCGTCGACTGGCGGAAGACCGTCGCCATGACGGCCATCCAGACGCAGTTTGTGGTGCGTACTCCGCCCGTGGGTGTGTTCTGGGAAGTCGACTCATGCGTACTCCGCTCGCGCCTCCTCGGTCGTCTGGTTCCTCACAGCAGTTGATGTCAGCTCAGCCGCATGAGTTTATCGGCTCAGTTGAAGCTGCTCCACGGTCGTTTGTGTCGCTGCCGAAAATTGGATTGTCGTTCATTCTCACGATGTTATTACAACCCGTGTGTTATTTCTGCCTTGTTTTCGAGTTGTCGTGCCCTCTCACATTTACTCAGCCTAGACTCGTCGCTTCCTTTCCTCAAACCCCTTCCGCAGTGCTCAAGCTGCTGGGCGATCTCGGCAGTCGATTCCATCGCCATGATGTGGGCGATCGCCAACAACAGCACCGGGGCGACTCTGTCGCCGCAGCAGGTGTGCGACTGCGCGACGAAGCAGTGCTGCCAAGGCGGGTGGCCCGAGTGGGCCTTCTACTACGTCCTCTTCAACGGCGGCATCACGTACAACGTCAGCTACCCCTACTCCGCCGTGGATTCCGCCACATGTCTGCTCGACACAACCATGACGACCGCGGCTCAGATCACGGGGTGGGAGCTGGTGCCGGCATTCAACGCCATGGCGCTCATGAAGGCCGTCAGCATGCAGCCCGTCGTCGCCTTCATCAGCGCCTCCGCCGCCGACTTCACCGTACGCCTCCCTGCGCCCTCGTCCCGCTCCCGCTCCCACTTCCCGCGCTTCCCCGCTCACACGGTTTCACGATTTCTCGCGCTTCCCCGCTCACACGGTTTCACGATTTCTCGCGCTTCCCCGCTCACACGGTTTCACGATTTCTCGCGCTTCCCCGCTCACACGGTTTCACGATTTCTCGCGCTTCCCCGCTCACACGGTTTCACGATTTCTCGCGCTTCCCCGCTCACACGGTTTCACGATTTCTCGCGCTTCCCCGCTCACACGGTTTCACGATTTCTCGCGCTTCCCCGCTCACACGGTTTCACGATTTCTCGCGCTTTCCCGCTCACACGGTTTACCGACTCTCAGCGCTTTCCCAATCTCCCGTTTCCATATTCCCCAAGTCCACACTGTTTCTTAATTTCCCGCGTCTCCCTTTCACCGTTCCTGATTTTTCGCTCGTTGACGATTCGCTGCCAACCTTAAATCGCTTCCCGATTTCCCACGTGTCCCCGCTCACACCTTTGGGTTTGGCGCCCGCTCGCAAAGTTTTCAGACTCCCCGCGTTTCCCAGCTCACATCGTTTCGCGACTCCCCGCGTTTCCCCTGCCTGTTGGCCCCTGTCTCCACGTGCAGGCGTACGCAAGCCGCGACACGGTCAACATCTACAACGGCGTGTGCTCGACGGAGGTGAACCACGCGGTGGTGGTGGTGGGCTTTAACTACACGGGGCCGGACCTCAAAGGCAGCTACTGGATCATAAAAAACTCGTGGTATCCCACGTGGGGCGACAAAGGCTTCATGTACCTTGCCATGACGCCCGACGTGCGCGGGAAATGCGGCATCCTATCGTACGTTTCCGAACTCGCTTCCCGTGTCCCCGTCTTCCTGGACAGTTGAGTCTGCCTCCAGTTCCAGGACGGTCCTCCTAGTCTCCCCGCCGACATACTGTCATCTGCGTCCGTCAAGCCTAGGAGGCATTGCGTTCCGTCGCGCCTAGGACGCTCCCAGACCCTGCAGTCCCCCCCAGGGCGAGGCAGGGTGCGAAGTTCATTTGTGCCACTAGTACACTAAATTTGCTCCTTTTCTCGTCATCCCCTTTTTCCGCGCAGAACCCCCGCCATGTACCCCGTCTACTTCCCATCCGGACAGCAGCCGGCACGCTTTGCGTCCGACAAGCGCGGCAAGTGGAAAATCACCAAGGTGGACGACCTCTCGTCATCGCTCTTCTCTACCACTCTCTCCCTTTCAACCATCACCAACGGCACCTTTATCAACAATATTATTGCCACCGCGCTGGGTGCAACGTGCGCGGGGATGATCAACCCGTGCGGCGGGGGCAGTTGTTACATCAGCGGCGGAGTTCCGCGGTGCAACTGCGGCGCGATGTCGAATATGGTCGAGGTGTTGGGATTGCCTACTTCCAAGTGCGTGCCGCGAAGTCCCTGCACGACGGCTTCTGTGAATCCCTGCGGCGGCGGAACATGCTCGGATGTGGGCGACGGGACGTACACGTGCGCGTGCTCTGCGGGTTACGCCGTCGGCGTTGCTGTCGACGGTTCGCCGACGTGCGTTCCTGCTGCCGGCCTCGCGAAGTCTTATGTTACCAACCCTGGCGACAACTGCACGTTTGTCGCGGCAGCTTTCGGAATTTCGACGACCACGCTGACAAACCTGAATGCTTTCATTAACTGCTCCGATACAGAATACCTCCCTCCCGGAATAGCTCTTACTGTATCGGCAGCAGTGACTTCCTTATCCTCATATTGCACCAACACATACACTGTCCGACCTTCTGACACTTGCACTTCTGTAGCAAACACTTTCTTCAACGGGTCTCTCAGTTCCTTTATGGAAAGCAACCCTGGCTTGTCGTGCAAGCACTTGTTCAAATCACAGCAAGTATGCCTTCAGATGGTGACCGCATCGACAACATCGTCGGCTCCACAGTGTGGGCACAGCGTTGCTGTGGTCATCGGAGACACTTGTGCTTCGGTTGCTGTTAAATATTCAATTGACAGCGCAACATTTGCCTCGTGAGTATTTCAAACTCATGCCACTGGTTTTGTAAGCCAGCCCGCCCCCCCTTCGCTCCGACTTCATATTCTCTTCCTAGCATATACACCACTGTTCTGTAACCATTACTCCCTGGACGGGTCACCAAATTCTCGCGTCTGCATGTCCACGGTTACTCTTTTGCTGCAACCTCTTGCTCCTGTGCAGACTTAATCCCGGTGTCGACTGTAACAGCAATCTTTCAGTTGGCTCATATGTCTGTGTGGCGCCAACATCACCTACGGTAATCCTAAAGAACATCCTCCCACTTGGCAAGTTGATAGCGATTCTCCTCCCATTTAAATCCCCCAACGTCGTGTCTCCATCTTTCCATGCATTTAAGTCTCTCCCCCTCCTCTCTCTCCCATCCCTTATCTCCTGTGTGCTTGTGCCCAGACCACCATCAACTGCACGGGGTGGTACCGGGTGATGCAGGGCGACACATGCCCCTCCATCTGGAATGGAGCCAACCTCACCATGTCCATGTTCCTCTCAATCAACCCGGGCGTTCAGGTAAATTAATTGAAGCTTCACATACCGACCCATGGCACCCTTCAACGACCCCACACCTCTCTGTCCACTCTCCCACCCTTCCCAGCCCTCTCCCCCCTGCCTGCCCGGGTACCGCCTGGGTCCTTGCTTGCACCACTCTCTACTCTACCTCTCCAGCCCTCTGCACCTCTCTCTGCCTTGCGATTCCCTCTCTTCCATTTGCACCGCCAGCCTCCTTACCTCTTTCTCCCTTGCCATTTCTCCTCCCCGCAGTGCCAGGCGCCCTATCTGGTGGTGGGCCAGCAGGTCTGCATTGACTCACCCCTCCTAACCACAATGCAGCGAAACCCAAACGCAAACTACTCTATATACACCGTCCGTGCCAACGATACCCTCTCCACCATCTCCACCCAGTACCTCACCCGCTGCACAACACTCTCCGTTTCCCCCGCCGCCATTGCCGCCCAAAACTTCATTGCCGACCCCTCTGCACCGCTCCCCGTCGGCACGAACCTCATCATCCCCTGTATTGGCGGCGTCGGTATGATCGACGGCGGCTGTGCGACGTCTCTCACCGTGTGCGGATCGGATTTCGTCTCGTACCCGTCGTACTGCCACGCAGCCGTGAACTACGGCCTTTCAATTTTCCAGAATGGCCCGTGTGACAAGTGTGGGGCTGCATGCCCTGGCCGCATGGGACTGGCCCCCGCTTCCGGGTTCGGCTGCACGCAAGCCATCTGCCCGTATCCAACCTGGATGGGAGGGGCAGATTGCACCCTAGGAGATGGCTACAACGGTACTGCTCCCTGCTGCAATTACCGGAAAACGCTCTGCGTGAAGCAGTGCGGCCTAACTGCTGATACTTTAGGCGGTACCACCACAACCAGGACTGCAAACTACAACGAATGCATGGGCAATTGCATGTGCTGCGGATTTTTCCCATGTGGGGGGTATTGGACGTGCAGCACGTGGAACAGCACCTGCTCTAAGACCACACCAAAGACTTGCTCGTACCTCATCGGAACTGGGTACACGTTCATCTGCAGTTACTATCCTGGTGCAAGTCCCTTGCCTTGAGGAGAAGATGCCTGTAACAGCTGCTTGTAACAGCGCCTGCTGGTTCAAGTCGCCGCACACGTGCACGCTCGCCATCGGAACTGGGTACACGTTCATTTGCAGCTACTACCCTGCGGTCGTTCGTTTGGTTTGAAGAGCTCCCTTTGGGGTGCCGCCTGTGGGCCTGCCGCCTCTGCTTGCGTTGCTGCTTACCTGGCTGTTGGAATATGCGTGCATGGGGTACTGCTGGAGGGCATGGGGTACTGCTGGAGGGCATGGGGTACTGCTGGAGGGCATGGGGTACTGCTGGAGGGCATGGGGTACTGCTGGAGGGCATGGGGTACTGCTGGAGGGCATGGGGTACTGCTGGAGGGCATGGGGTACTGCTGGAGGGCATGGGGTAATGCTGGAGGGCATGGGGTACTGCTGGAGGGCATGGGGTACTGCTGGAGGGCATGGGGTACTGCTGGAGGGCATGGGGTACTGCTGGAGGGCATGGGGTACTGCTGGAGGGCATGGGGTACTGCTGGAGGGCATGGGGTACTGCTGGAGGGCATGGGATGCTGCTGGAGGGTGTGGGTTGCTGGTGAGCATGGGTTGCTGAGGTGTATGGGGTGAATGTGCGTTGCTTAGATTGATATGCATTGGGACCACAGGTTATGGTATGCCTTGTCTTTGAATTCGTGCTCGTATTGTTAGAACCTTATATTCTTTTGTTCCTTTTCATCATTGTTAATTTCCATCATAATATTGTTCATCTGACGATACAAACAGAAAAGCACAGCACCTTTTACAACAAGAATGGAAAGGGGTACGTTCAAACAACACGATGCCACCCACAACACAACACAATGCCCATGAGCAACCCGTTCAGCCCTCTCACCAGTTTTCCCTGTCCTTTGAAGCACCTGCACTCCGCATTCTTAGGATCCACCTCACTCTTCTCACTCTTCCCACACTTCTTACTCCACACACCCAGAAATCCCTAGCTGCTGCACCTGCACCTGCCCTTTTCTCACGGTTCTCACGAAAGTGTAACCCCATAACCAGCAGAGAACTGCGCCAGAGCCTCCCTGTTCACATAACCCACCCCCTGCTGTATCACCACTCCGAACCACCCCGGATTCCTCGACGTCAATGCCCCCAACCCCACTGTCAGGTACTGCCTGGCGTCGCTCGTCTCCTCCTTCGCCTGATCCCCCTCTGTCTTTCCCGCATGGTGCAGCTGCGCATACGATGCCACGTACCCCAATGCAATCTCCTCTGCATCTGGCACGACGTGTCTGTGCTGCCTCCAGATGCTCCCTGGGCTGCACCAGCAGGGCCAACACGAATTTACTATGGGCTGCTTGCAACATAACTACCTTGTACCTCCTTGCACCTCAAGCCTTGCACCTCATGCCTTGCACCTCATGCCAAAACGGGTATGGCAGCACAACATGGGTATGGCAGCACAACATGGGTATAGGCAGCACTGCATGGGTATGGCAACACAACAGTAATCGCATAAAAATGTGTACACTCCAAGGAGAGCAGTAATCGCACAGAGGCTACCCAAGAGTGTTGGCAGTAATTTGATTTCTTCTAATAAGTGTTAGTATACAGTGTTTTAGTTGCTGCTGTCAAAGTATATGCATGTTATCTATGTGTAGGCTATAGTGGGATAGCCAATATGGGATACAGCCCCTCTTAGGGTTTCATACTTGTACCCAACCCTTTCATAGTTGAATCATTCCTGCAGCTAGATTCTAACATGGTTTCAGAGCACTAGGTCCGTAGGACCGTCCTTTTTTTTCGGGCCCATCTACCGTTGCGGTTACCGCGCTGCCCCACGTGTTGTCCTATGCCTGCCGGCCTGCCTTGCCTTGTGACGTGCTGTGCTACGCGCGCTGTCCTGCAGCCCTCGCGCTGCCTCCTGCTGCCCTAGGCCAGCGCGCCGCCCCTGCAGGCCCGTAAGGACCGTGCGCCGCCCCTGCAGGCTCAAAAGGCCAGCGCACCGCCCCTGCAGGCGCGTCAGGCCCGCGAGCCGCTCCTGTAGGCCCGTCAAGCCCGTGCCCCGCCCCTGCAGGCCCGTCAGGCCCGCGAGCCGCCCCTGCAGGTCCGTCAGGCCAGCGAGCCGCCCCTGCAGGCCCGCCAGGCCACTGTCGTGGCCCCGCCCTGCCGCTGACGCGGCCCCGCCCTGCCGTCGACGCGGCCCCGCCCTGCCGTCGACGTGGCCCTGCCCTCCCACTGTCGCGGTCCCGCCCTGACGCCGACGCGGACCCGCCAGGACGCGGCCCCGCCCTAACGCTGACGCGGCCCCGCCAGGACGCGGCCCTGCCCTGACGCCGACGCGGCCCCGCCAGGACGCGACCCCGCCCTGCCGCCGTATCGCGGCCCCGCCAGGACGCGGCCCCGGCCTGAACCCGATGCGTCCCCGCCAGGACGCGGCCCCGCCCTCACGCTGACGCGGCCCCGCCAGGACGCGACCCCGCCCTAACGCCGACGCGGCCCCGCCCTGACACCGACGCGGCCCCGCCCTAACGCCGACGCGGCCCCGCCAGGACGCGGCCCCGCCCTGCCGCCGACGCGACCTCGCCCTGCCGCCGATGCGGCCCCGCCCTCCCGCCGACGCGGCCCCGCTAGGACGCGACCCCGTCCTGCCGCCGACGCGGCCCCGCCCTGCCGCCGACGCGGCCCCGCCTGGCCCCGCCCTGCCGCCGACACGGCCTCGCCCTGCCGCGGCCCTGCCCTGCCGCTGTCGTGGCTCCAGCCCTGCAGCTGATGCGGCCCTACTCTGCAGCCGCTGTTGCGGCCTCGCCGTCGCCGCCGTCGTGCGCCTGCCCTTCCCGCCAATGGTGAGCACCTGCTCTACCCGCGCTTCCCATGTGTCTGCCTTGTTAGTGCGCTGCCGCACCATCTGCCTGCCTGCCTGCCGCGCCTGCCGCACCTGCCCTGCCCGCGCTGTTACTGCTGCTAGGCTGCTGTTGCTACTGCTACTACTACTAGTGATACTGCTACTCTTGGCGGTGGCCAGATGCAGCTCTCGCAACGTCCGCGCGAGTCTCTCACGCCCTAGCAGCTTCGTGAGTGGTATGCTAGTTGGGGTTGTGGTGGTAGCCGTCGTAGCTGTCGCCCTGGAGCTGGTCAGTTGGGAGCGTCTAGCAGTGGCCAGCTGCAGCAGCAGTGGCCAGCTGCAGCAGCAGTGGCCAGCTGCAGCTGCAGCTGCGTCCACGCGAGACACTTACGTCCCAGCAGCTTCACGAGTGGTACGCTCAGAGTAGGGGGTCTCGGAGTACCGTTCGCTGCCCGTACGTCATTCGCACAGGTGATCGGGCAGGTCAGGCTTGCGGGACGCTTGGTCACACACAGTCCCGCTGCTTCGCCCGACTGAGCGACGCCTGGCGTAGTGAGTTTGGCGACGAAGCTAAGCTCCCCACCTGCCTGGAGCTGCTTAGGCAGAGGGCAGATATCTTTGCTCTTGACTATGATGCTATTCTCACTGCCATGTATGCATTGCCTACTAGTGCTGACCGTGCCTGTTACCTGTGCGTACCGCCTGACCCGGGTATAGAGCCTGCTGCTCTAGGTACTGGTGAGGCTGCTGCTCTAGGTGCTAGTGCGTCTCCTGCTCTAGGTGCTGGTGAGTCTGCTCTCTCTGGTACTGCGCCTACTGAGGCCTTATACACCTTCACACTTGACTCAGGTGCTTCTCGCTCCTTCTTTCGCGACAGAACCACCCTCACGCCGCTCAGTCGGCCGATTGCAGTCTCCCTAGCAGACCCCTCTGGGCGTCCAGTCCTTGCGCACTCCTCCACGGTCCTGCCGTGTCCGGCGGTCCCGTCTGGCTATCGTCAGGTCTTCACCTTCCCTCGTTCTCTACGAACTTGGTGAGTGGTGCTGACCTCCAGGACCAGTGGGTTGACCAGATCACCCCTGGAGATCAGCGCGTGACCCACTGTACGTGCTCCCGGACGGGCCGGCACCTGGCCACGTTTACCCGTGCGCCTGGCTCGAGTCTGTACACACTGACTACTGTGTCCCCTCAGGTCGCTGCGTCCGCGTCTGCGTCAGGTCAGCTAGCGGCCCCCTGCTCGTGTCGCGCTTTCTCGCACCAGACCCTCCTTTGGCACCACCATCTTGGTCACCCCTCGGTGCAGCGCCTTCGTAGCATGTACCGCCCTGTCCTTGTCTCTGGTCTTCCCACGGTTCTCCCTCCCCTCCCTCCCTCGCCTGCTCCTCCCTGTCTTCCCTGCGTCGAGGGGCGGCAGTGCGCCGCTCCTCACTCCTCGTTTT